ATGGGTCACAACCCACAGGTTGAGAACTGCTGGCCTAGAACTACACAGTGTCAGGATCATCAATATTACTGTCTTCTACACCTTGTCCTACTGAAAGGTATCCTGGGGCAGTAACATGCACAAAAATATGACAGGAATAGATGGTGAAAAGTGATAGGAATTTTTCAGCTCCCTTATAATCTTATGGGACCACCACAATGGGACACCAAAATGTCGTTACGTGGTATATGACTATGCTTAGGTAATTTTCTAAGTTGTAAAAACTGTAAGCAGCTAGTTACTAATAAAAGCTTAAATGTATCATATGCATAAAACTAACCAATATTTTAAAAATATTTTGTAAGCAAATTTTCTAAACTTTATCAGATTCTGTAGTTTTCTAATTTAAGATGGCTAATATTTTAAATAACTTGGTACTTTCTCTAACTATATCATGTTCTATAGATAGCTGAAGCTCTCAAATCCCTAGAGCAGTATGTCTCTCTACATGTCAAGGCATAAGTCCAAGAGCAGAAGAAAGTGGTCTTCCTTTGTTGCCACTGCAACATGAACACAGTGAGTGCACAGCAGCTACAGTGGTTAAGGCCTCCACCTAACTGCCTGCCCACCAGCTACCTGGCATGTAGCACTTCCACTCCTCTTCCCGCTAAACAGCTGAGGGACATTATTTGATTCGTTTGATCAAATTTAAAATAACCAAATAAAATTCTATCTCCCCTCTCCAAATTAGTGATCAAATCAAAAAAATGAGAGCAAATAGTAGTAAAATATGCCAGACAGGTCAAGTTTTGAACCTGTAAAAATAATTTTAGTGGAGAGAAATACAGCAGAAATAACCTTTTGCACTGCATATCTGGAAACTATAGCATTTTACAGATACACTGTGTTCATAACGTATTACTAGTGAGTATGTACACATTTACACATGTACCTACAATAAAAAATGATGGCAAATATACAATATATGTACCCACACTCTGTACATAAATATGTGAAGGACATCTAATAACATTTACCACAAACATATGCAAATGAAAACCTTTAAGACTTGAATTGCACCCACGTGGACTTGCATTCAATGTGGTGTGGTTGAGATTTATGATACAAAGGCAACATCTCAGAGCAAAAGGGAAATAAAGTACCTACAAAAACATTTAAGTATTTTATCCCAAATTTTGTATAGTTCAAACATGTTCTGGAAAAACAAAAGTGAGCTCAAAATTAAATCAAGTGACAATTAAGTCCATACCTAATAGCCCAGTGTCTACATCATCTTCATTTTTCAAATTCTCAGCATGCAACTCTGTAAATACAAAGAGGAACTCAGGTAGAAAATTAAGATTACTTTATAATTTGAAGAGTAACTCACAGGCTGGGAAGAAATTATTGAGCTATGTAAAGTGCTTTAGTCAAAGTAGAGAGTTTAAATTCTGATACAATTTACTAGCTGTGTGACCTTCAGCAAGCAAGTAAGACTTCTACAGGTGTCAACAGCCATACAGTGTATATAAAATGAGAGTAATGTTTATTCTGAAGGGTTACTGTAAAGACATTTTATGTAAAACAAATCAAAAGGAATGCTAGATTTTGAGTTCTTTCCTTTCTTCATTCTCCAAAATAAAGTTCAATGTCTTCTGCATCACACTTCATTTTTCATGGTTTTTGTGATTTTATGATACAAAGGCAATGTCTCAAAGCAAAAAGAAACTACTCACAAAATAAAACTATCACAGTTGCAGTGAAGAGAAGAGTGATAAAGTGAAATACTGTTAGCCAAACATTTAAGATTGGCAGTTTGCACACATAACAATTTTAGGAGGTAAAAACTCAAACATTATCTTTTGTATGAAAATCAGCATGGTAAGGTGTTAGATATCGTTTACAGCCCACCAGGGAGTGGGAAACAATGAGAAAAAGTAAAAACTGAAGTGAAATAGATTTTATTTGCTTAAATAAGACAATGTGTTAGGTGCTCTTCATACAAACTAAGTTCTTTTGGTTCATTTTCAAAGACCTGGCCGAGGCCACATACTAATGAGATCTGAGATTTAAACTCAAGTCTTACTCTTTCCACTGTAATATACAATAGCCAATCCTGTTATTCATCCATATGAGCCTCGGAAAAGACTTTGAACTGGCCCGTATTTCAACTTCAGACATACACAAATAAAACGATTACAGAAAGCACAACACCACACCTTCTGCAATACACCTTCGTGTACTACAGTTGGTTACAAACTTAAAACTAAGACAAGCTAATTATTTTACCTATAAACCCAGAAATTCAGGGAATGGGATGGAAAGGAGTTCTAGCTGTATAGAGATCATGGTGGCTGGCACAACTTTAGCTATCTGTGGATCAAGCCTTTGAATCTCACAGGTATATAGCATATTTTCATTACACGCACTTTACACCGTCTATTAACGGTGGGTA